CGGCACTGAGTACAGGTGGGCGGCACTGAGTACAGGTGGGCGGCACTGAGTACAGGTGGGTGGCACTGAGTACAGGTGGGTGGCACTGAGTACAGGTGGGCGGGCACTGAGTACAGGTGGGCGGCACTGAGTACAGGTGGGCAGTCATCGGTATATTGATGAGGGATCTATACCCCATACTTATTCACATGGGGGGGCCCTGGATCAGGGGGCTCCCCTTGTTAAATGGAGGCTTCCAGATTCCAATAAGCCCCCCACCTTCTCACCATGTTGATGGGGACAAGCGCCTCTCCCCCACACCCCTGGCAGCTGGTTGTGCACAATACATAGTTATGCCGGCCACACGGGTCCAATTCCAAACAAATTTTCTTTAGAAAATCGGAAATTTTCGTACGTTTTGTAATCCGTTGTCACCACCATTGATTTCGAAATTCAACCAACCGAGCCGTCAGTTTCTCCTCACGTTGCTACAGAAAATAATTGGTGCAATAAAGGCTTCTTTCTGGCAACTCGACCATGCAGCTCATTTTTGTTCACGTATCATTGTAATCTCCAAACACGGAAAAGGTTTCTTCACAGTAAGAGCTGAGAATGTGGAATAGACTCCCTCCAGAGTTGGGTGTGGCCAGCTCAGTGGATTGCTGGAGGAAAGTCCTGGATTCTTTCTTGGATACACAGAATATAACTGGATATAACATTTATAGGGAAAGGTGATCCCGGGAATATCCAGGGATTCCGCCTCTCGGGGGGATATCAATATTGATCCAGGGAATATCCGAATATTGATCCAGGGAATATCCGATTATTGATCCAGGGAATATCCGATTATTGATCAGGGAATATCCGAATATTGATCCCGGGAATATCCGATTATTGATCCAGGGAATATCGATTGCCTCTCGGGGGATCAGGAAGGAATGTTTTTCCCTGCAGGAGGAGATTGGATCGTACTTTGCTGGATTTTTGCCTTCCTCTGGATCAGGGGTCTCCAAACTTTCTAAACAAAGGGCCAGTTTACTGTCCTTCAGATTTTAGAGGGGCTGGACTGTAGCCAGTAGAAAAGGTCCCGACATCAGTGGGAAAAAATAATGCTGTATTGTTTGGTGTCAGTCAAAGGAATTGTGCCCCATCATTGGGAGGAATTGTGCCCCATCATTGATGCCATTGGACCCCATCTTTGGTGTCATTGGGAGGAATTGTGCCCCATCATTGGGAGGCATTGTGCCCCATCATTGGTATCAGTGGGAGGAATAGTGCCCCATAATTGGTGTCAGTGGGAGGAATTGTGCCCCATCATTGGTATCAGTGGGAGGAATTGTGCCCCCATCATTGATGCCATTGGACCCCATCTTTGGTGTCATTGGGAGGAATTGTGCCCCATCATTGGGAGGCATTGTGCCCCATCATTGGTATCAGTGGGAGGAATAGTGCCCCATCATTGGTGTCAGTGGGAGGAATAGTGCCCATCATTGGTGTCAGTGGGAGGAATAGTGCCCCATCATTGGTGTCAGTGGGAGGAATAGTGCCCCATCATTGGTGTCAGTGGGAGGAATAGTGCCCCATCATTGGTGTCAGTGGGAGGAATATAGTGCCCCATCATTGGTGTCAGTGGGAGGAATAGTGCCCCCATCATTGGTGTCAGTGGGAGGCATTGTGCCCCATCATTGGTATCAGTGGGAGGAATAGTGCCCCATCATTGGTGTCAGTGGGAGGAATAGTGCCCCATCATTGGTGTCAGTGGAAGGAATAGTGCCCCATCATTGGTGTCAGTGGCAGGAATAGTGTCCCATCATTAGTGTCAGTGGGATGAATAGTGCCCCATCATTGGTGTCAGTAGGAGGAATAGTGCCCCATCATTGGTGTCAGTGGGAGGAATAGTGCCCCATCATTGGTGTCAGTGGGATGAATAGTGCCCCATCATTGGTGTCAGTGGGAGGAATAGTGCTCCATCATTGGTGTCGGTGGGGAGGAATAGTGCCCCATCATTGGGTGTCAGTGGGAGGAATAGTGTCCCATCATTAGTGTCAGTGGGATGAATAGTGTCCCATCATTGGTGTCAGTGGGGGGAATAGTGCCCCATCATTGGTGTCAGTGGGAGGAATAGTGCCCCATCATTGGTGTCAGTGGGAGGAATAGCGCCCCATCATTGGTGTCAGTGGGAGGATTAGCGTCCCATCATTGGTGTCAGTGGGAGGAATAGATCAATATAGCGCCCCTCATTGGTGTCAGTGGGAGGAATAGTGCCCCATCATTTGGTGTCAGTGGAGGAAATAGCGCCTCCATCATTGGTGTCAGTGGGAGGAATAGTGCCCCCCATCATTGGTGTCAGTGGGAGGGAATACTTGCCCCATCATTGGTGTCAGTGGGAGGAATAGTGCCCCATCATTTGGTGTAGTCAGTGGGAGGAAGGGAATAGGAATTGCCCCATCATTGGTGTCAGTGGGAGGAATACTGCCCCAGCATCAATTCATTGGTGTCAGTGGGAGGAATAGCGTCCCATCATTGGTGTCAGTGGGAGGAATAGCGCCCCAATCATTGGTTGTCAGTGGGAGGAAAACAAGCACCCCATCATTGGTGTCAGAGGGAGGAAATAGCGCCCCATCACTGGTTTCATTGGGAGGAATGGTGCCCCATCGCTGGGTGTCATTGGAAGGCGTTGTGCTCCCTTCATTGGTGTAAATGGGGGGGAATTATGCCCGATTGTTGGTATCGGTGTGAGAGAAATAGCACCCCAGGGGAAGCCGGTTAAGATAAAGGCAAGCAAAGGGCCCCATCTGGCCCCATCCAGTTTGGGGACCCTGCTCTGGATCACCTGTAGTAGGTGTCGGATTATAAACACTTTTTTTTGGTTGAACTGGATGTACTTTTTGTGTCTTTTTTTCCGGCAGACTGATGTAACAAAGCCGCGATTTCTCTCCTCCCTATGTATAGACTTCATTTATATCTGAAGCCGGTTTTCTTCCCACTACAAAATACACTCTCCAGTCTCCCAGAGTTGCCCGGGCTCTCAGCAAAACTCATTATTCGGCCTCCGGGACGACATATCTGACGGAGACCATGACGGCTCAGCACACAGGAGCATTATCCCGACACGGCCAGGTGGACCCCTGTGACATTCCGAGACATTTAAAACAAAAAAGAGTAAAAGGTCTCTTTAATAAAGTTCTAACCTTTGTATAAATCCCCAAAATTCCTGAGACATATCACTCATCTCACGGCTGCGATTTTTTTTTTTTTTTTTTTTCCATACCAAGGACCGATTGCTGTCTAGATTCCTTCAGAAAAAAAAAAGCACAGAAGAGCTCCAGTGAGATGAAGCTTCAGAAGAAGAGATGTTTAAAGGTCACCATGGCTAAATATACATAGAATGTATCATGAAAAAAACCCGGGGGACGGCCTCCTTCGGGGAAGGACAAGAACACCTGAATACATTGTGAATCTGTTGGAATCGCCCAAACCATTTCCCGGCAAATGGGTCGATTCTCCTCGCCGTCTCTGGGACAAGACAAGCAACAATGAGAAGACACAACCTCCTCTAGATGTTCCTGGTTCGAGGGTGACGGGATCCTCACAAAGACTCTTTGTAAGGATGTATACTGGCAGACGATGACAATCTTACCCCGGAGCCGACCCAACGCAAAGGTCACACGAAGAACGGCCCGTTCCTACCCACTTCCCACCATTTCAGGTGCTCAACCAAAACCATGTCCAACCGACGAACGTCAGCTTCAACCACGCAGGAGAACAACCAGTCCTGTTCCAGGAATTGATTGATTTATTTTGGCAAGAAATAATATTTCCAACCCGATGTTTCCTGGCATTGGCTGCTGGATTTTATGTTGCCTGTTTTTAAATGATATGAGGGTTCCATTACTTTATCAACCTTTTTTCATCAAGGCACCCTTTAAAATGATGGACAGCCTTGAGGCACCCTTTAAAATGATGGGCCAGAGGGCATCCCGAGAAGCACCCTTTTAAAATGATGGCCAGTCCCGAGGCACCCTTTAAAAAAAGTATACGAAGACAGTCTTGAGGCACCCTTTAAAATGAAGTGGACACAGTCCGCCGAGGCACCCTTTTAAAATACTTTAAAATTCTTGACAGTTTTTGTGGCACCCTTTAAAATTATGATTGTGATTCTTGAATTACCAAAACCATTCCCAGCAAAATGGGTAGATTCTCCCCCGTCTGGACAAGACAAGCAACAATGAGAAGACACAAACCTCCTCTAGATGTTCCTGGTGCGAGGGGGTTAACGGGATCTCACAAAGACTCTTTGTTAAGGATGTTACTGGCAGACGATGGACAATAATCGGAACATTCCATACCGGAGCCGACCCTCAACCGAGGTAACGCAAAGGTCACCACAAAGAACGGCCCGTTCCTACCACTTCCACCATTTCAGGTGCTTAACCAAACCATGTCCAACCAATGTCTGCTTCAACCATGCAGGAGAACCACCAGTCCTGTTCAGGATTGATTTATTGGCAAGAAATAATAATTTCCAAGCCGATGTTTCCTGGCATTGGCTGGATTTTATGTTGCCTGTTAAAATGATGTGAGGGTTCCATTTCTTTATCAACCTTTTTTCAGTCAAGGCACCCTTTAAAAACTGATGGACAATCTTGAGGCACCTTTTAAAATTATGGGGCAGTCTTGAGGCACCCATTTTAAAAAAGTATAGACAGTCTTGAGGCACCCCTTTATAAATTATGGGCCAGCCCTTGAGGCACCCTTTAAAAAGTATAGACAGTCTTGAGGCACCCTTTTTAAAATATGAACAGTGTCTTGAGGCATCCTTTAAAATTTATGGGCAGTCTTTGAGGCAACCTTTTTAAAACTGATGGACAAGCCTTGAGGCACCCTTTGAAAGTATAGACAGTCTTTGAGGCACCCTTTTTTTAAAATTATGAACAGTCTTTGAGGCACCCTTTTAAAATATATGGGGCAGTCTTGCAAGTATTGAGGCACCTTTTAAAAAACTGATGGACAGCCTTGAGGCACCCTTTAAAATTTGGACAGTAGCCCGAGGCACCCTTTAAAATTATGGACAGTTTGAAGGCCACCCTTTTGTAAAATTATGATTGTGATGCTCTTGAATTACCAAAACCATTCACGGCAAATGGGTAGATTCTCCTCGCTCGGTCTGGGACAAGACAAAGCAACAATTGAGAAGACACAACCTAATCCTCTAGACGATTAACCGTTCCTGGTGCGAGGTGGACGGGGATCTCACAAAGACTCTTTGTAAAGGATGTTACTGGCAGACGATGACAATAATCGGAAGAGGGATAACATTCCATACCGGGCCAACCCAACGCAAAGGTCACACGAAGAACGGCCCGTTCCTACCACTTCCCACTTCCACCATTTCAGGTGCTCAACCAAACCCATGACCAACCGACATCAGCTTCAACCACGCAGGAGAACAACTGGTCCTGTTCAGGATTGATTTATTGGCAAGAAGTAATATTTCCAACCGATATTTCCTGGCAAATTGGCTCGATTTTATGTTGCCTGTTTAAATACAGATGTGAGGGTTCCATTTTTAAATGTTAATATTTTTTTCACAAGTATCATCTTCGTAGCGTAGGCCATCGTGTTTCTCAACCTTTTTTCAGTCAAGGCACCCTTTAAAAATTCTGGACAGTTTTTTGAGGTACCCTTTAAAATTCTGGACAGTTTTGAGACACCCTTTAAAACTATGATTGTGACTGTTGGATTACGAAACCATTTCCCAGCAAATGGGTCGATTCTCCTCGTCTGGGACAAGAAGACAAGCAACAATGAGAAGACACAACCTCCTCTAGATGTTCCCTGGTGCGAGGTGACGGGATCTCAGCAAAGACTCTTTGTAAGGATGTTACTGGCAGACGATGACAATAATCGGAACATTCCCATACCGGGAGCCGAGCCCCCGACCAACGCAAAAGGTCACACAAAAAGAACGGCCCCGTTCCTACCACTTCCCCACCATTTCAGGTGCTCAACCAAACCATTGTCCAACCGATGTCTGCTTTGACCACGCGGCAGAAAGAACCACAAGGTCCTGTTCAGGGTCTGTTTCTATTGGCAAGAAATAATATTTCCAAACCCGACATTTCCTGGCATTGGCTGGATTTTATGTTGCCTGTTAAATGATGTGAGGGGGTTCCATTTCTTTATCAACCTTTTTTTTTTTCAGTCATCACCCTGTAAAGTAATGGACAGTCCCGAAGGACCCTTTAAAAAATTATGGACATGTCCTGAGGCACCCTTTTAAAATTATGGACAGTCCTGAGGCACCCTATAAAATTATGGACAGTCCTGAGGCACCCTTTAAAATTATGGACGTCCCGAGGCACCCTTTAAAAATTATGGACAGTCCCGAGGCACAAGCAACCCTTTAAAATTATGGACGGTCCCCCGAGGCACCCTTTAAAATTATGGACGGTCCCGAGGCACCCTTTAAAATTATGGATGGTCTTGAGGCACCCTTTAAAATTATGGACGGTCTTGAGGCACCCCTTTAAAATTATGGACGGTCTTGAGGCACCCTTTAAAATCATGGACGGTCTTGAGGCACCCTTTAAAATTATGGACGGTCTTGAGGCACCCTTTAAAAGAATGGACAGTCCCAAGGCACCCTTTATAATTATGGACAGTCCTGAGCCCCCCCATTCTACACTTTTGCACACTGGTCTTGACTAGTATTCCCATGTTTCTCTCCTCTCCCTCAGTTGTTCTCCATCACTGAGCTAATGTGACCCCGGCACTGATGGAGAGGGGTGGGGGAGGGTCAGACTAGGAATTCTGTGCAGACAACCGACATCCTCCTTATCAACTGATGATGTCATTGGTTGTCAGGACACCGGCGGCTAGAAGGTTGTAATGGTGAACACCTGGGGCTTGGTGTAACCAAATGGCAGCCACTGCCTTGTATACAAGTTTTGGGCAGTTTTTAGACATTTAAGATTCTGATGTAAGATGGACTCTAGTGGGGACCCTGATGTAAGAGGGACTCTAATGGGGACCCTGACTAAAAGGGACACTATGATGGGGACCCTGATGTAAGAGAGACTCTTATGGAGACCCTGGTGTAAGGGGGGACTCTGATAAGGACCCTGGTCTAAGAGGGACTCTTATGGGGATCCTAATGTAAGATGGACTTTCATGGGGACCCTGATGTAAGGGGGGGGGGGGCTGATAAGGACTTTGTGTAAGAGGGACTCTTTTGAGGACCCTAATGTAAGAGGGATTTTTATGGGCACCCTGATGTAAGGGGGACTCTAATGGGTACTTTGGTGTAAGAGGGACTCTTATGGGGACCCTGACTTAAAGGGGCACTCTGATGGGGACCCTGATGTAAGAGAGACTCTTATAGGGACCCTTATTTAAGGGGCACTCTGAGGGGGACTTTGGTGTAAGAGGAACTCTTATGGAGACCCTGGTGTAAGGGGGGACTCTGATAAGGACCCTGGTCTAAGAGGGACTCTTATGGGACACCTAATGTATGATGGACTTTTATGGGGACCCTGATGTAAGGGGTGGGGGGGGCCTGATAAGGACTCTGGTGTAAGAGGGACTCTTATGGGGACCCTAATGTAAGAAAGATTTTTATGGGCACCCTGATGTAAGGGGGACTCTAATGGGGAATCTGATGTGAGAGGGACTCTTATGGGGACCGTGATGTAAGGGGGACTCTTATGGGGAATCTGATGTGAGAGGGGACTCTTATGGGGACTCTGGTGTAAGGGGGGAGACTCTGATAGGGACCTTGATGTAAAAGGGTCTCTTATGGGGACCCTGATGTAAGGGGGGACTCTTATGGGGACCATGATGTAAGGGGGGACTCTTATGGGGACCATGATGTAAGGGGGGACTCTGATTGGGACCCTGATGTAAGAGAGACTCTTATAGGGACCCTTATTTAAGGGGCACTCTGAGGGGGTCTCTGGTGTAAGAGGAACTCTTATGGAGACCCTGGTGTAGGGGGGGACTCTGATAAGGACCCTGGTCAAAGAGGGACTCTTATGGGGAACCTAATGTATGATGGACTTTTATAGGGGACCCTGATGTAAGGGGTGGGGGGGGGCCTGATAAGGACTCTGGTGTAAGAGGGACTCTTATGGGGACCCTAATGTAAAGGGGATTTTTATGGGCACCATGATGTAAGGGGGACTCTGACTGGGACCCTGATGTAAGGGGGACTCTTATGGGGACCGTGATGTAAGGGGGACTCTGATTGGGACCCTGATGTAAGGGGGACTCTTATGGGGACCATGATGTAGGAGGGACTCTTATGGGGACTTTGTTGTAAGGGGGCACTCTGATAGGGACCTTGGTGTAAGAGGGGCTTTAATGGGTACCCTTGATGTAAGAGGGACTCTTATGGGATGTTGATGTAAGGGGTGGCTCTGATGGGGACCCTGATGTAAGGGGGGGCTCTGATGGGGACCCTGATGTTAGGGGGGGGGGGGGCTCTGATGGGGACCCTGATGTTAGGGGGGGCTGTGATGGGGACTCTGATGTAAGAGGGGCTTTAATGGGTACCCTTGATGTAAGAGGGACTCTTATGGGATGCTGATGTAAGGGGGGGCTCTGATGGGGACCCTGATGTAAGGGGGGGCTCTGATGGGGACCCTGATGTTAGGGGGGGCTCTGATGGGGACCTTGATGTTAGGGGGGGCTCTGATGGGGACTCTGATGTAAGAGGGCTTTAATGGGTACCCTTGATGTAAGAGGGACTCTTATGGGATGCTGATGTAAGGGGGGGCTCTGATGGGGACCCTGATGTTAGGGGGGGCTCTGATGGGGACCCTGATGTTAGGGGGTGGGGGCTCTGATTGGGACCCTGATGTTAAGGGGGGCTGTGATGGGGACTCTGATGTAAGAGGGACTCTGATGGGGGGACTCTGATGTAAGGGGGGGCTCTAATGGGGACTTTGGTGTAACCATTCCTGATATTTTTTTTTAAACGTAATTCGGTTTCTCCATGCAGAGAGCCGCCATTTGTGACATTTCATTCACATTTTGTGAGTCATCGCTTTGCGGGGATGAAAGCAATTTTGGTCACCATGGTAACGATGCATTACAGGACTTAAAGTGTAACTCAAATAAATTCCATCCAGGTATGTGTTCTGAAATCGGCTGTAAATCTCTGGAATAAAAAAAAAGAACAAAGCACATCCCTCTATAGTGTGAACTTGCTGCAATCCAAAGCACTGGGTGGGATTTCTGTCTGCTGCCTCCTTCCTCTGCCACCACTCAGGGTCACTTCTGACCGTCTATGGGGACCAGACAATCCTGCAACATGGCCCCACCTCTAACAACACGGAGCAGGCGATTGACAGCCATGATTCCCTAGGAGACCCTGTAGAAGGGGGTGTGTCCGTTCCCTCCACTAAGGGCTCAAATCACACTCAGCTCTCAGCTCTATGCCGGTCAGTGTGTGACGTCAGATCCCCCCCCCCTGCCTGCCGGAGCTCCAGAAATTCTGCGTAAAATATGTGCTTTAGGAGGATGTAGAGAAGAGAAGGCTGCAGATAAACAGGTACAACTTATGTGGGAGGATTTGTTTCCTCTCTGTGCCGCCAAGATGAAGAAAACAATGTTAGCTTCCAGTACCGACATGTCCCCCCCCTTCCAGTCCGGACACTGTTGTCCGCAGTGCCCCTCCCCCCCTCTCCAGTCCACTTTCCCCCCTTCCAGGTTCGGACAAATCCCCCCTCAGTCCGGACACTGCCCTATGCCCCATTCCCAGTCCGGACAGATTCCAGCCCCCCCGCTTCCAGCCGGAGCAACTTCCGCCCCCCCTTCCAGTTCCGGACAACTTTGGGCCCCCATCCAGTGAGGGACGAAAGAGAGAGAAGGTTCCAGTTTGCTCCGGACATTTCCCCCCCTTGAGAACTCTGGATCCTACTCCCCTTCCAGGTACACACTTTCCACCTAGAGTTGGTAGGATTTTCCCCCTGTTCCAGTCCAGGACACTTTCCCCCCCATATCAGAGGACACTTTCCCCCCCCTTCCAGTCCGGACGGTTGAACACGTCCTCTGTATCAAAACTTCAGTGCTTCCAGTCCGGACACTTCCCCCCCCCTCAGTCCGGACACTTTCCTTCCAGTGGGACTACTAATTCCGCAATATCCCTTCCATGTCCGGACACTTTCCGGTACATTCCCTCCGGTCACCCCCCCCTTCCAGTCCACGGACATTTTATTCCCCTCCCCCTTCCAGTCCGGGACACTTTCCCCCACCCTTTCCAGTGGACACATATTCATCCCCCCTTGTAGACTGACACTTTCCCCCCCGATTTCCCCCGGACACTTCCCCACTCGGTCAGTCATAGCCTTCCCTCCGTCATACGGACCACTTCCCCCACCTTCTCCGTCCCGTAAACTTTCCCCAAGTCCACTTATGTTCCAGAGGTGTGATCACTGTCCCCCCCTTCCAGTCCGGGGACCACTTTCTCCCGCCTTCCTGTCCGGACACTTTCTTCCAGTCCGGACACTTTCCCCCCTCCCTTCAGTCCACCTTCTGGGCACACTTTTCCCCCCCTGTCCTTCCGTTCCGGACACTTTCCCCCCTTCCAGTCCGACACTTTCCCCCTTCCAGTCCGGGACACTTTCCCCCCCTTCGGACCGCGGCCACTTCCCCCCCCCCTTCCAGTTCCGGACAATTTCCCCCCCATTCCTTTCCCCTTTTCAGTTCCGGACACTTTCCCCCCCTTCCAGTCCGGACACTTTACCCCCCAGTACGGAAATTTCCAGTCCATACACTTTCCCCCCCCGTGATCGCGACACTTCGTCCCCCCCCCTTCCAGTCCGGACACTTCCCCCCCTTCCCCCCTTCCAGTCCGGACACTTTCCCCCCCTTCCAGTCCTTACCAACTCCCCCCCCCTTCCAGTCCGGTACACTTTCCCCCTCTTCCAGGACACTTTCCCCCCTTCCAGTCCGGGACACTTCCCCCCCTTCCAGTCCGGACGACTTTCCCCCAAAATAGGGACCTGGCCTTCCAGTCCGGACACTTTCCCCCCTTTCCTGAGTCCGGCGACACCCCCCCCTTCCAGTCGGACACTTTCCCCCCACTTCCAGTCCGGATCACTTTCCCCCCCTTCCAGTCCGGACACTTTACCCCCCTTCCAGTCCGGACACTTTCCCGCCTTAGTGGACCCCCCCCTCCTTGCCCTCACACTGAAATTTTCAGCTTTTAGCGCTATCACACTCTGAATGACAATTGCGCAGGGTCATGCAACACTGTACCCATAATGACACTTTTTAGCATTTGTTTGAGACAGATAAAGCTTTATTTTGGTGGTATTTAATCACCGCTGGGATTTTTTATTTTTTTTGCTATGTAAATGAAAAAGTCGAAAAATTTTGAAAAAAAGTGTTTTTTCATTACAAAATTTTGCAAAATAAATAATATTTCATAAATCTCGCCAAAATTTATTCCGTTATCTTTTTAGTAAAAAAAATAAATACCCAAATTAGTTTATAACCAAAAATAATAATTTTTAAAACATTTTTCTTACTTTATCTTTATTTGTGTTTATATTATTTTTTATTTTATTTTTTTACATACTGTCACCCTAGCAGTAGTGTTACCATGGTGACACTGTACTACTTTTGGGGGTGATAAAGATTTTTTTTTTTTACACCGATTGCTTTTACACCCATAAAGGCTGTAAGAGGAATCATTTCTCCT